GTTCAGAGCCTCCCTACAAGACACAGCAAGGTGAGGGGCCTCCCTACAAGACACAGCAAGGTGAGGGGCCTCCCTACAAGACACAGCAAGGTGAGGGGCCTCCCTACAAGACACAGCAAGGTGAGGGCCTCCCTCCCTACAAGACAGCAAGGTGAGGGACCACCCTACAAGACACAGCAAGGTGAGGGGCCTCCCTACAAGACACAGCAAGGTGAGGGGCCTCCCTACAAGACACAGCAAGGTGAGGGGCCTCCCTACAAGATACAGCAAGGTGAGGGACCACCCTACAAGACACAGCAAGGTGAGGGGCCACCCTACAAGACACAGCAAGGTGAGGGGCCTCCCTACAAGACACAGCAACGTTCAGAGCCTCCTTACAAAGACACAGCAAGGTGAGGGACCCCCTACAAGACACAGCAAGGTGAGGGGCCTCCTTACAAGAAACAGCAAGGTGAGGGGCCACCCTACAAGAAACAGCAAGGTGAGGGGCCACCCTACAAGACACAGCAAGGTGAGGGGCCTCCCTACAAGACACAGCAAGGTGAGGGGCCTCCCTACAAGACACAGCAAGGTGAGGGGCCTCCCTACAAGACACAGCAAGGTGAGGGGCCTCCCTACAAGACACAGCAAGGTGAGGGGCCTCCCTACAAGATACAACAAGGTGAGGGACCACCCTACAAGACACAGCAAGGTGAGGGGCCACCCTACAATAAACAGCAAGGTGAGGGGCCACCCTACAAGACACAGCAAGGTGAGGGACCACCCTACAAGACACAGCAAGGTGAGGGGCCTCCCTACGGATCAGCAAGACCACATATTACACTGAGAGAAGAGGGGACCTTCTACAACTTATATAAGGACGTCTGGGTGTGGGGGGGTGCCTAGTACAACTCAACAGCAAAACAGCACAACATATACAGCAGTGCATGAATACACCAGAAGGAGAATATACATACTCCAAGCAGACAGGATCCCTGGCAGGTAGTGAACTCAGAACTCCCATGCTGCAAGACAATGCTAACCAATGAAATATCACACTGACCTAAAGCATGGTCTGCGACATGGTCATCCGTCATGAGACTTTGCTTAGTAACAGTATTTACTGAACTGTAGAACCCGTCAGCCCTCATTTGTGACAATACAACTCTTCATATTCAAAAACGGATGTACATAACTGCTGTGCCAGTACAAAAGATGAACTCCAGGCAAACCGCTATATACACAAATAAATTACACATAGAGGAGCTGTTTTATCCGCCAAAGGCTTTGTATTCATGTTCATGCAGTCCTGAGATTTACATAGCTCTGCCGCACAACACAGTCCTGCCTGGCAGGGGCAGAGAGCTAATCTTTCAGAAACTAACAGGTGTAGCAATTGTACGTACAAATATGGACGCAAACATCCATTTTGGTAAAGACCCTCCATCTTGTATCATTTCTCACTCCAAATCAGCTCCCCCCCCCTCCCTCTCTGTTGAGTGACACGTGGTCCTTGTGTGCTGGGTTCAGAAGTGCACAGGACACAGTTGGATATCCTTCATGGCTGTAAACCCAATTAGCTGATGCCAGGGTGTCTGGCAAACTCTTGCTCTGAAGCTGATCGTAAAGCCATAAACCCGGCAGTCACTGGACTTCATAAGCATTCCAGGATAGCAGTAAAACGAATATCCCATGTGAAAACACTTTTTCATACAATTTCGTAATTTCTCATAGGTAATACATACAATACAGCAAAACATATATTCAGATTGGTCATTTTAATGCGAGTCGCCTGACATCTTACACCCCTAGTTAGTCTACAGGAGAATAGGAAGCCATATAGTTCTAGCTGAAATAGTAAAATATGGCATATTTGATGTCTGGACGTTCAGGATATCATTCTGCATATTAATCTACTAGTGGCTAGGCTGCTACATGTACCTAGGGAAGGTTATTGACCACGATATAAACTGGGAGGGATTTGGTCATAGACTGAGTTCCCTGCCTAAAACACCCCTCCCCAAATGAGGCGATTGGTTCTCTGCTTTAAGGAGACACCCTGCTAGGTCCCTAGAAAAAGGCTGTTATGCTTGGAGCAGTAAGTTAAAGAGATCTCCCTTTTAACATCAGGAACCAACTTTGGGAGAAAAGGCACCCGTTTGCTCTTGACACTTGAACGCTGCTTAAACCAAGGCTGACGGCAAGTATTCTACCTCTCTAAACTTCTGTTATCTCTCTGTTGTGGTATTGCTCTCTGTATTTATATATATATATATAGGCTACATCTTTTTCTGTAAATACTTTTATTGCACCATTTTGACCTTTTTAGTAATAAATCTTCTTTTCTGAAAAGTGTTGAACTGTTTCTAAAGCTCTTTAATGCAAATTAAGAATCCCTGTCTCTGAAGAGTGCTACTGTGTGGTTTAAACCTCTATATACATCTGCCTGCGGTGACAGTGGTACACAGACGATTATTCAAAAACATCATTAGTGTTACTGCTAAAATTGCCGAGTTTCCTCTCTGTACAAAAAGGAGGTGGGTGGCAGTGTGAAGGGTTAATTGTGTATCTAACCTGACCCAGTAACAATCGCTCTCAGGCTGCGGTACATAGATTGTGGTCCATTAGCTGGAAAATCTTTGTGCAGGGTGCAGCTGGGCGTGGCATTGTCATGCACGTGACAGCGCAGTTTTAGATTGGCTAGTCCTTCGGTCACGAGTTGGTGAGAAGGGCTGGGGGTCTGACGCTGCGATAGTCACAACAGGTCTTGTCCCTCCCCCATTCTGTGATTGGACAGTGAAAGGAGAAACAGCAGACTGATGAGCTCATCTCTCCATCTTCCTTCTCTCATCTTATATCAGCACATTCCTCATTAGCATATGAGCACTGCAGCACAACCCATAGTCTCCTTGGTTTCCTTCTCCCGGAGTTCTGCTGTACAGGGACTGCAAGTCAAATTCAGGTACCAACACCGCTTGCATTTAAGAACATTGCCTGGAGTTCAGGTTTAATTAAACAGAACTGCCCAGCAGGTATGACAAAGCTAGCCTCCTCCCATGACATGGTTTGCCCTCCCATGGGCCTAATGCTCTGCAATTAAGCCTGCGGGGCAGTGAAACGCGTCGATGGGGTGCGGCATGAGAGCGGATGCTGATCTCAACATGAATCACTACTTGGCTGACGTTCTACATGCGGCTCCACTTTCTTTAATTGAATGGCATGATCTTCTGGACCACATGTGTCAAACAAAGGACCCGTGAGCTGAATCCATCTCATTAGACCATTTCATGTGACCCTCACACCCTCCTTGTCTCCGCCGCCCCTCCCTCCCCACCTTGTGCAGCCGCAGCACCCTCTCATCTCCACCCCCACATTGACTCAGCAGCCGGCGACAGAGAGGATGACAGAACTCATCCTACAGATCCTGTGTTTCTCTGTCCATCCGCAGCATCCTCCCATCTCCGCCCCCACATTGATTTAGCAGCAGAGAGGACGATAGAACTCCTCCTACAGAACCTGTGCTTGCCTGTGCAGCCGCAGCACCCTCTCGTATCCGCCCCCACATTAACTCAGCAGCCGGCGACAGAGAGGATGACAGAACTCATCCTACAGATCCTGTGCTTCTCTGTGCAGCCGCAGCATCCTCTCATCTCCGCCCCCAAATTGATTTAGCAGCAGAGAGGACGACAGAACTCCTCCTACAGATCCTGTGCTTGCCTGTGCAGCCGCAGCACCCTCTCGTATCCGCCCCCACATTGACTCAGCAGCCGGTGACAGAGAGGATGACAGAACTCATCCTACAGATCCTGTGCTTCTCTGTGCAGCCGCAGCATCCTCTCATCTCCGCCCCAAAATTGATTTAGCAGCAGAGAGGACGACAGAACTCATCCTACAGATCCTGTGCTTCTCTGTGCAGCCGCAGCATACTCTCATCTCCGCCCCCAAATTGATTTAGCAGCAGAGAGGACGACAGAACTCCTCCTACAGATCCTGTGCTTGCCTGTGCAGCCGCAGCACCCTCTCGTATCCGCCCCCACATTGACTCAGCAGCCGGTGACAGAGAGGATGAAAGAACTCATCCTACAGATCCTGTGCTTGCCTGTGCAGCCGCAGCACCCCCTCATCTCCGCCCCCACATTGATTTAGCAGCAGAGTGGACAACAGAACTCCTCCTACAGATCCTGTGCAGCCGCAGCACCATCTCGTATCCACCCCCACATTGACTCAGCAGCAGGCAGCAGAGAAGATGTCAGAACTCCTCCTACAGATCCTGTGCTTCTCTGTGCAGCACTCCCTCGACTCTGCCCCCACACTGACTTAGCAGCAGAGAGAACGACAGAACTCACAACAGATCCTATGCTTCACTGTGCAGCCGCAGCACCCTCTCATCTCTGCCCCCACATCGACTCAGCAGCCGGTAGCAGAGAGGACAGAACTCCTCCTACAGATCCTGTGCTTCTCTGTGCAGCCGCAGCACCCTTTCATCTCCTCTCCCCCACATTGACTTAGCAGCAGAGAGGATGACAGAACTCCTACAGATCCTGTACATCTATATGCAGGTTCGCGCGAAGGATAAAATGGTAGAACGCGCCGCATTATGCTCATGATGGGATCCATAGTGAATACAACCAGAAAAGACAGGTCATCTCAACACATACTGCTCTCTCTGCTTCTGCTCTCTCTATTTGTCTCAAAACGTCTGAAATAGTTATTTTTTTCCTGTTTTTCACTGCATTCTGGGCATTTGGGAAGGTCTCCTGAGGTTATCTTTTAAAAATGCTTCCAAACGCAAACGCTCATAAACGCGGTATGCAAACGCGGCTAAACTGACATTTTTTTAACCTGCGTTTTCCAGCAGTCAGTTTCCGTCGTTCAGAAGAGTTTTCCCAAACGCCCCGTGTACAGGAGCCCTTAAAATGACAATAATAGTGCCTGAGAGGTGACTTTAGTATACCTTGAGTGCATCCGGACCTAAGAGCCATTACAGATTGGGCACTACATACCAAACACGCTAAGCTCACCTTGTCTCTTCAGCTCCTCTATCTGCTCCTCTTTCAGGTCCAGCTGTTCGGTAAGTCGGGACGCCGACTCTAGTGCATTGTTGGCTTCTTCTAATTGCTCCTAGAAAGGAAATCGAACATTTCAAACGTTGCCCTTCAATACCCGTATGCAGTCCATTCTGCAATAAATTAAATCCAAAACACTCTCCAAATAAACTATACCACTACAATACCCCACAACATCAACCAAAACACCTTTACCCCAAAAGATGTGCTAAAATTAAGAAACAGCAGATGCTATAACATAAATCCTCAAAGAAAAAAAAAATTGTGTAGTCCAAACCCTAGAAGTCCAAAATTAAAAATAGTCAATCAAATTCTTCTTAGATAATGTCGTGTTTAAAGAAATCCTTCCGAAACTTGCTTCAGTAATAAACCTCAAAAAAAGAAAATATTGACATAGTGCATTATCTTTTTTATAATCAAGTAAATTATAGTGACCTCATTCAGGTGAATACCAAAATCACAATAATACCCAATAAATGTGTATGTAGTGAAAAACCACTGTGAATCAAACAAAAAAAAAAAAATCACTGTGAATGTGAATCACTCTTCAGTGCTCTTATTCAAAAGATAACACTGTGACACTTCTACATGCAGTAAGGAATGCATACCATTGCCAACATTCCAAAAACAAAACGCTTTGTAGTCCTTCCAAAAGATAGGTGGGAAACAGACCTAGAGATCTCTACCCAAATTGTATTGCCTTCATACTGTCATCAGAATCCAAAACGTCTTGGGACTCCATATATATTATTATTATTAATATACAGTATTTATAAAGCACCAATAGTTCGCTCAGCGCTGTACATTACAAAGGGGGACAGAACATGTGACTGTCAGGAATCTAGGAATGACCAGAAAGGTGTGGACTGACACAGGGAAACGCAGGTTTCAGGTATAGTATAATAATACAGTTTATTATTAGCCACCCAGATATATATATATATATAAACGCACAGTGAGCAAACCAACCTTCCAGATATATATATATATATATATATATATATATAAACGCACAGTGAGCAAACCAACCTTCCAGATATATATATATATATATATATATATATATATATAAACGCACAGTGAGCAAACCAACCTTCCAGATATATATATATATATATATATATAAATACAGTGAGCAAACCAATATATATATATATATATATATATATAAACGCACAGTGAGCAAACCAACCTTCCAGATATATATATATATATATATATATATATATATATAAACGCACAGTGAGCAAACCAACCTTCCAGATATATATATATATATATATATATATATATATATATATAAACGCACAGTGAGCAAACCAACCTTCCAGATATATATATATATATATATATATATATAAACGTACAGTGAGCAAACCAACCTTATATATATATATATATATATATATATATATATAAACGTACAGTGAGCAAACCAACCTTCCAGATATATATATATATATATATATATATATATATATATATATATATAAACGCACAGTGAGCAAACCAACCTTCCAGATATATAATATATATATATATATATATATATATATATAAACGCACAGTGAGCAAACCAACCTTCCAGATATATATATATATATATATATATATATAAACGCACAGTGAACAAACCAACCTTCCACTAATCTTAGTAGGTGCAGGAACACAGGCGTAGTCAGTGCTGGAGAGGTGGAATGGTCAGGCCGGCCGTAGGGTTCTGTAATGACCGTTTGGTGGTACCTCTAGTGGTCCCCAGGACAGGATTCCCCAGGGCGCGGAGTCTAAGTCCCAGTCTGCTATTCACCAGGGCCCCTGATGGTGGGGATGGACTTGGAGCAGACAGGAACCAGGTCGCGGCCCCTGAGTACACCTGCTAGTGGTAGAGGGACCCGCCAGAGGTATGTGCAGGTACGGCTGGATCCGTGCAGGATGGATGGATGGCAGAGTAGTTAGCGTGGTCAGACGGGCCAAGTCAGCAACGTGCGGGCAGCAAGGTACCAAAGGAGCAGGCAGAGAATGGTCAGGGTCACAAGCCGGGTTCAGTAACTCACAGACAGCGCGGTACAGGGGATCAGGCAGAAAGATGGTCAGGCAAGCCAGGGGTTTAACAGGAGACGGTCAGCAGAGGTCAGGATCAAGCCGGGTCAGCAACGAAGCAGGAACACAGGATACCAGGTACAGGGGCTCATGGGAAAACAAACATACACCAAGGCCCAGAGCACAGGCCTGGTCATGCCTTAAATACACCTTTCTGCAATCAGCCCCAGGTTTGACTGATTGCACGTGTGAGCTTCTGGCTGCTGAGAGCACCCGCTGGTCAGCTCTGGTACTGCAGCCCACACTGCAGGTGAGTCCCACCACCAGTGCTGAGTCCATTCCTGACAGTGACAGAACAATAACAATACAATGCAAAACATGAGGGGATTGAGGGCCCTGCTCCTTGGAGCTTACAATCTAGGAGGGAGGGGATGGTGGCACAGGAGGAGATAGCTGTGGGGGATGGAGTGGTAGGAAGAGTGGAGGAGATCGGCAAGTTAGCAGGGGGTGGGGTAGGCTTCCCTGAAGAGATGGGTTTTCAGGGTGCGCCTAAATATATATCACCATCCAGCATGTTCCACACATATACAGATAGATAAGGGACAATAGTGTAATACCGCCAAGAACAATCCAAGAATTACTTTTAATTAGAATGCTCACATTTCACAAACTTGAACACTGCTTAAAAGTACCCATTTGTAGTCTGTCAACCAGGAAGTGTCCAGGGGGAATTAGATGATCTTTCCCACATCCAAGATGGCCGCCGGTCAGCTTCCGGTCATCGTGTGCGCGTTGACGTCACTTCCCCATGACGCGTTCGTCATCGACTTAATCATAAGGGATTTCTTTAAACACGACATTATTTTAGAAGAATTTGATTGACTATTTTTAATTTTGGACTTATAGGGTTTGGACTACACAATTTTGTTTCTTTGAGGATTTATGTTATAGCATCTGCTGTTTCTTAATTCATTCTGCAATTAAAGTAAACGGTAAGGCAACGCATTAAAAAATAAATTAAAAAATGTAAAAAAAATTCCTACAGCACCTAACACCTGGACACGTTTTGCGTGGGCACGAGAACCCATACATATGAATGGACTCCCGCGCCCCGTGACACGCAGGGAAGAAGTCCCTGCACTTCTTCTGAAAATGCAGCCGAGGTTCCCAGTACGGCTGTGTTTTCCAATGCAGGTGGCGTGCCATTAGAACTAATGGCACCCGCCCGCAGGTTTGCAGTCCTCGTGCGGATCCGCAGCGGCACCACCCGCGCAGGTGTGAACCAAGCCTAAAAGACAATATCACTAAAAATTGAACGCCAAATGCCATGATTTTATACATTTGTAGGGAGTCATGTGACTGCAGACCGTTGAGCACTGCGCCTCCTCCCTCTGCAGGTGGTGACCATCACAGAGCCTAAATGAGCCAGTGAGAGGGGGAAGAACTTTAGCATTGGTTCAAAAAGGTAGTGATGTCACCACCTTGTCTCATCAGGGAATGCTTTGCATTCATTGAGAAAAATGCCAAGCGAAGCGTCTGAGGTTACTATGCAGCAGGCACAAGACCCAGAAGACAGCAGAGAAAACTGTAGTAGTGGTGACTCCCTCTAACACAGAGGTCCCACAGATAGATTATATTGCATGCTTATAGTAAAATAGTAAAAGTGAGCGCTATCCAATCAGCAGCTAAGCACTCAAGGCAACCAACGTAGACCTTACAATAGAATAGATAAGTTAGTGCAGCGCTAAAATTTTAATTCCAATCAAAGAAATAAATTAAAAAAATATATAACACGATAAACTGGTAATAAATGTTCAGTATAAATGACCGTCTGTGTGACTCTAAAGTGCCAGGTGACTGGTTAAACTCAGTGGTGGTGCTCCGTGAGAAATGGCAGAATTACGCACTCACCAGATGCGCAATAGTTATACGCATTAAGTATCACATCCAGGGTTTCCTCATCAGATATGGGTCTGGTCAGGGTTAAGGTGGTCCTCCCTCAGGGAGGAAAAAGCGTCACATAAGAGGCATGTGGGGCAGTCGTTGGCTCAGTGCTGGTATCTCCTGAGAGCCCGTTTTTTGTGATCCAGCTGCCTATCCATCAGTCTTCTCCGGAGAAGGAAGTTATCCTGTAAGCAGGCAGCCTCTTCTACCTATCCCTTAAAGCAGTGGTTCTCAACCTGTGGGTCGCGACCCCTTTGGGGGTCTAACAACCCTTTCAAAAGGGGTCACCTAAGACCATCAGAAAACACATATTTCCAATGTGTAAAGAGCAGCTACTGTGTAGAAAGCAGCTGCTGTGTAGAAAGCAGAAGTATTGGAGGTAAAACGACACTTCATGAATTATAATTACTGGGTAAATAATTTTATGGTTGGAGGCAGGAGTGGACTGACCATTTGGAAACTCGAGCACTGCCCGAGGGCCCGGGGTCAGTAGGGGGCCCCATGAGATACCCCTGGTACCTTTTTCATAGGCTTGAGTTTGGGCAAGGACACAGGGGCCCCATGATCCCCTATTGCCCCCTGGTTGGGGGTCACCACAACATGAGGAACTGTATTAAAGGGTCGCGGCATTAGGAAGGTTGAGAACCACTGCCTTAAAGGGACCTCTGGTTCACTGGATCCGAGTAATTTGTTACTGGGCATTTGCTGACTACTACCCTGAGGGAGGACCACCTTAACCCTGACCAGACCCATATCTGATGAGGAAACCCTGGATGCGATACTTAATGCGTATAACTATTGCGCATCTGGTGAGTGCGTAATTCTGCCATTTTTCACGGAGCACCACCACTGAATTTAACCAGTCACCTGGCACCTTAGAGTCACACAGACGCTCATTTATACTGAACTTTTATTACCAGCTTATTGTCTTATATATTTTTTAATTTATTTTCTTTGATTGGAATTATAATTTTAGAGCTGCACTAACTTATATTGCATGCTTGCATTTTTCAAAGCTGGACCAATGCATCTATGTCATAAACGTCATACATGGAGTTCGGCTTTACATCATGGAGTTTTGATTGGCCAATCAGTGATCACATGATCGGGACCTCGCACAGAAGTCCCGTCCGACGATTGGTGTTCCACTGTGTCCAAAACGTGAGTTTTTGAGCTTTTTTTTACTGTTTTTGTATTAGCGTTTAGCAGTGTTTTCCCGCGGTTGTAGTTTTTAGCGTGTTTTTTTTTTTTTACCGAAAAACTTTTTCTTTTTTTGTAAAAAAAAAAAAAAAAAAAAAAAAAGTCTGGTTTGCCGGTTCAATGGCCTTGTGTCATTTTTCACTGACTGAAATCTCACAATCCTCCTACCTGCAGATACAATGCTTTATCTTCCAGTATTTCCACCTTCTGCCTCAGCTCTGTGTTCTGTCTCCTGTGTCTGTCCAGCTCTGCAGAGTACATGGCCTTCTCCTCTGTGGAGGGAATACAGAACATCTTATTCACAACTCAGAGAAAATGTGATTATTATTATTATACAGGATTTATATATTATTATTATACAGGATTTATATATTATTATTATACAGGATTTATATATTATTATTATTATACAGGATTTATATATTATTATTATTATACAGGATTTATTATTATTATACAGGATTTATATATTATTATTATTATTATACAGGATTTTATATATTATTATTATTATACAGGATTTATATATTATTATTATTATACAGGATTTATTATTATTATTATACAGGATTTATTATTATTATTATTATTATACAGGATTTATATATTATTATTATTATACAGGATTTATATATTATTATTATTATACAGGATTTATTATTATTATACAGGATTTATATATTATTATTACACAGGATTTATATATTATTATTATACAGGATTTATATATTATTATTATTATACAGGATTTATATATTATTATTATACAGGATTTATATATTATTATTATTATTATACAGGATTTATGGCGCCAACAGTTTGCTCAGCGCTTTACAATATAAAGGGAGACAATACAGCAACAATACAGTTCAATACAAGAGGGATAGGAGGGCCCTGATCCCGGGAGCTTACAATCTAGGAGGGAGGGGCTAGTGGTACAAAAGGTAGTAACTGTGGGGAATGGACTGGTGGGAGGAATAGAAGATTCCATTATTAGCTGAGGGCAGGATAGGCTTCCCTGAAGAGATCGGTTTTCAGAGATCGCCTAAAAGTGAGCAGAGTAGGCGATAGTCTGATAAATTGGGGTAGAGAGTTCCAGAGGATGGGGGAAGCTCTGGAAAAGTCCTGGAGACGAGCATGGGAGGAGGAGACAAGGGAGCTAGAGAGTAGGAGGTCTTGCGAGGAGCGGAGAGGACGGTTTGGGTGATATTTGGAGACAAGATCGGTGATGTAATTTGGGGCGGAGTTATAAATGGCTTTATATGTTATTGTTAATGTTTTGAATTTTATCCGTTAGGCAACAGGAAGCCAGTGGAGGGATTGGCAGAGAGGGGTGGAGGACACTGAATGGAGGCCAGTGGAGGGATTGGCAGGGGGGGTGGAGGACACTGAGTGGAGGCCAGTGGAGGGATTGGCAGAGAGGGGTGGAGGACACTGAGTGGAGGCCAGTGGAGGGATTGGCAGAGGGGGTGGAGGACACTGAGTGGAGGCCAGTGGAGGGATTGGCAGAGAGGGGTGGAGGATACTGAGTGGAGGTCAGTGGAGGGATTGGCAGAGAGGGGTGGAGGACACTGAGTGGAGGCCAGTGGAGGGATTGGAAGAGGGGGTGGAGGACACTGAATGGAGGTCAGTGGAGGGATTGGCAGAGAGGGGTGGAGGACACTGAGTGGAGGCCAGTGGAGGGATTGGCAGAGGGGGTGGAGGACACTGAGTGGAGGCCAGTGGAAGGATTGGCAGAGGGGGTGGAGGACACTGAGTGGAGACCAGTGGAGGGATTGGCAGAGAGGGCTGGAGGACACTGAGTGGAGGCCAGTGGAGGGATTAGCAGAGAGGGGTGGAGGCCAGTGGAGGGATTGGCAGAGAGGGGTGGAGGACACTGAGTGGAGGCCAGTGGAGGGATTGGCAGAGAGGGGTGGAGGACACTGAGTGGAGGCCAGTGGAGGGATTGAAATGTGATTTATTATACTTTCTGTTCATTGAGGGATGCAGGTACTTCCTGCGGTTTAGGATCATTCTTTTGGAACTGCTTTCCCTCAAAGCTGAGGCATGCTGGGAGCAGGAAGGGTTATACTGGGTTGGGACACACATTTTGTATTTGCCAGAGTCCAATCCTCCTGTAGAAGACAGTATAACCCAACTGTATCTGACAAAACATGTATTCCTCCATCGTTTGTTGAAGCACACAGCTTAGGCACGGAAGGGTTTGATGCCGTCACCTTCAGTAGCAGGACATTAGGCGCAACCTAAAAAACGTAAAGCATGTCTTTGGGTCAGTCCTGTGGTGATGGCCAAACCCCCTATAAGGCAGGATTCAGCTCTGGCCTGGGGTCTTAGAATTAGGATGCAGAGAGTTTTCTCCTCCCTACAGATGAATAACGTCTATATTCCCATCAAACACTTTCCTGGATAAGGCTTGGGAGTAACGGGTGTGAAAAACCCACATGGAAGGAAAATATATTTGTAATATATTTTAAAAATATTCTCCCCAAATATATTGACACATATATCTGAAATACTATATATATATATATATACACACTGTATGTTGAAATGTATTTTTATTATGTCTTTAAAAATACATTTAATCTACACGTTTGGAATGCATTTACAAATATATGTAAAAATATATGTTAAAATGACTTTTATATGTTAAGAAAAAAAAATCTGAAGAATATATTTAAAAAGTATATATTTTTAAAAATACTTTTCATATATGTTGTATAAAAAACACATTTCAGCATGCAGTATTTTATATATATATACAGTCAGGTCCATAAATATTGGGACATGGACACAATTCTAACATTTTTGGCTCTATACACCACAATGGATTTGAAATGAAACGAACAAGATGTGCTTTAACTGCAGACTGTCAGCATAATTTGAGGGTATTTACATCCAAATCAGGTGAATGGTGTAGGAATTACAACAGTTTGCATATGTGCCTCCCACTTGTTAAGAGATCAAAAGAAATGGGACAATTGGCTTCTCAGCTTTTCCATGGCCAGGTGTGTGTTATTCCCTCATTATCCCAATTACAATGAGCAGATAAAAGGTCCAGAGTTCATTTCAAGTGTGCTATTTGCATTTGGAATCTGTTGCTGTCAACTCTCAAGATGAGATCCAAAGAGCTGTCACTATCAGTGAAGCCATCATTAGGCTGAAAAAAACAAAACAAACCCATCAGAGAGATAGCAAAAACATTAGGCGTGGCCAAAACAACTCTTTGGAACATTCTTAAAAAGAAGGAACGCACCGGTGAGCTCAGCAACACCAAAAGACCCGGAAGACCATGGAAAACAACTGTGGTGGATGACCGAAGAATTCTTTCCCTGGTGAAGAAAACACCCTTCACAACAAACACAAAAAATAGTGAAGCGCTAGAATGAATCCCTAAATACGCACACAGTGCATATAATATTAAATGAAAACCATACCTCATAAATAAAATATATCCGTGACATAAAAAAATATATATCAATAGAAAACCAAATATATAAAGAAAATCTTTGTCTTGCCCCTAAATTATTTCTTCAAATCAACACATTAATAGAAAATCCATAATAATGCGAATAAATAGTGATAAAAAAAAAAATATATATATATAAAAAACTGTGTTAATTAACATATATATATATATGTGATAATTCCAATAATAAATGTGACAATAAAAAATATGAATAGTGAATCTCAATCAAATATACGTGATTGATGTGAAAAAACCATATATTAAACTATTACATATAAAAGAATCCACTGAAACTTGTGATGTTTAAAATATAAAAAAGTGTCCATAAATGAACAATCACAGTCCATGCAATACGGTGAAAACGACACTCAGTTTCTTCACTTCTAGTGCTCAAAACAAGAAAAGGGAAGAAATCCTCCAATGGCAGCAATGCCTGCTCACCTCCCCAACTCGACCCGCAAAGGGCCACAAGGCTATAACTCTCCTCCAGGTAATCCTTTGCTTCCAAGCAGCTCAGTAAGGAATCACAGGACCTCCTCTCCACCTCCTCTCAAACGTCATATAGGACACAAACAGAGCTTCCCATAGTGTAATACCATTTATTTAAAGACACTCCATATAGCAAACTGTTTCCACTCACATGCGTTTTGTTAGTAAAATGCAGTCCTCCTCATTCCCTGGGTGCATTCACATGTAGATAGGGAAACCAATATGGTCGCTGTGCTCGGACATCCGTCCCCACGTGACGGAAATGATGTGTCTCTGGGCTGGGAAAAACGTTCCGACGCGTTGCGTCACGTGCGTCGTGACTTCATCAGGGTACCGCCCCCCAGTGCCAGAATGTGTTTATATAGGGAATGGTCAAAATTACCATTCCCAATAGGAGGGCGGGCTCCCGGCGGCCATTTTACCGGAGCCCATGAACCCGACCCAACTCGTGGGGGATAATCTAATCATACCTTCTCCCCTAGTAGCCGGATGAAATCTCTACTATGGTATATATACCTTTGGGCAAAATACACTACATTAATATATATATATAATACATGATGTTTATTTAAATAACATTAAAAAACTTACATATTAATCCACTTCATTTAGAAAAAACATCTCCTTACTAATATCTAAAAAACGGGGACAGGGGAAAAACACTAAATATATACATATGCCATCACTGTATATATTATTAAAAAATCTACTATGGGAAAAACCCAAAATAGAAGTGTATATATATATATATATATATATACACATACACACACCTTACACTCATTTAATACCTCAAAACTAAATAATTTTATTATAAAAAATCTAAATATATATATTAAAATAGAAAATTAAAAAAATTAAAAAAATAATTAAAACCATATATCTATATAGAAAGAACGGGCCATCCATATCTACTCTATCTTCTCACTGAGAAACTTAGAAAAAAAGAGAACACATTATTATGATCTATAACGATCAAAGGGATCCTATAACGGTTTTATTACCATATAGGCATATATAATGTACCCATATATAATTAATAATAATAGTAATCATGTGAATATACCCATGGTCCGAGTTCACAAGAAACTTTCATGACTTTATTATAAATACCGAAAAAACTAAAAACGATCTCTCTAGCATACTAAATAACCTAACTTATATAAACACAGTCATATTCCAAAATAATCTTTGAATAGCCACTAATATACACTTCATGGCTACTTCCTAAGAAATACTAAAATAATTAAAAGTCACTAATAAAACAATTTAAATCAAAATCCACATTTAATCCATAAGGCACTTGCGTATGCA